CTCAAAGGCCTGTCTCAGCAACTTCCTTTCTGCTTCATCACGCTGAGCGCTGCAACATCATCAAAATAGTCAAAAGAAAGAAGTGGTGCCTCTCATTTTTCCAAACAGCCAGATGCTCTTTCAGAGGTGAGACAGCAATCCAGTGCTGTGCCTTTTCAAGGATGGGGGATGGCAGAATTCCTCTTTCTTTTGTTAACAAAGAATTTTGCTTTGAAAATGAAAGACCTGAGGTTTGGTCCCTTCTCAAAAACCTGCTCTGGATCCAACAGAACTTGCTAATGCTGAAATAGCATTTGATAGATCTGGCAGTGGGACCAAGACCAGAAAGGAGAACTTTGGATCTTGGATCTGGCATTTTGGAGAGTGATATTAGCCATTCAGCAAAATAGCTGTCTCTGCGAACAGTCTTCAGGATTTGTTCCAGTTCTTCAAAGACACTAGAGCTGTATTCTTAAAATCTTGTTACATCCCCAAGTGTCCAGATCAGGTTTGGAAGCAAGTCATGAGGATTTCTCCAAAGGCTGATGTTAGCCAAGTCTAGTCAAGCTCCCTCGTTGTCCTTTGTAGCAGAAGAGGAGGCTACTTGGCTGCAGCTTTGCTTGCAGATGCCTCATGTGGCTATTTTGAACCACCCCTTGGGGGAACTTTTCTCTCTCCACTGGCCACCTGGAACCTGTGAGAAGAGCCCTTTCAGCTCACCTATCGCTAAAGTGTTTTTGAAAACATTATATTGAGGCTGAGTTTGGATGAGGCATTTTGGCTATCCTAGCAGTGTCCCCAGAACATGTCAGTAAGCAACCTTGTATGAAAGCGGGCAGGTCACCCCTCCTCTCTGCTACGAGCTGGGGAAGTCAGACCAAAGAGAGGAAAACAACTGTCCCAAAAGGCCTTTTTCACCTTGCTGTCTGAGCCCACAGGCGTGATGATTCCAAGAAAAGGGCAGGAAATATTTGTAAAATTAAGCCATTGATTTTTTTCCCTGTCTTGGCTATGCCTGGGATGAAGCTGTGGCTCCTCTAAACAGGCTTTTCTTTCCTCTCTCTCCAAAAGACAGAGCCTGATACTTCTGTGCAGCCTCATCTGGAAGAGGTCAGTGCTAGCACAGCTCATGGAGCATATACCAGCAGGTCTTCTAGTGATGGATCTTTCCACAGCTTCCAGTCTTCTTAACCAACATTGCACAGAGTCCAAATGACAGCTTAACACCAGCACAGGTGCCAGAGACATAACCAGGAGTTTTGACTAGTGGTTTTGTCGCAGCTATACTTGTCTGCTCTTATAGCCGAGAGTAAGGGTGGGGGCAGCACCTTTCTTCCTTGTACACAGCCAGAAGGCTGCCAAGGAAGAACAGAAATAAGCAACCCATTTCTGTCCCAATTGCAAACACGCAGTCGGACACAAAGCATTTGCTCCTGAGCATCCAGCCACTAATGTCTCCCTGTTCCTCAGGATGGTGTGTCTCACTGTGGGATGATCCTTGAGGCCAGCAAACAGGAGCAGGGCCTAGCTCCAGCAATTTCATCTTACTTGTAATGCACAAGGTAGCCAACTACAGCGAGATGACTTAATTCAAGCATCTGGTCTTTTTCCATGCCGTTGGCACAGGTACCAGCATTTATGGCTTTGCTGGTGTGCAGACAATGAGATTACGTGTGCAGCTTTCTAGCTGAGTCCTCCAGCTGCTGCTGCCGGTTGATTGATTGATTCCTCTCTGAGATTCCATCACGCCTGCAGATGCCCATTTAGACAGGCTTGGAAACACCTTCCTGGAAACAGTGGGTCATACCAATGCTCACTGTAATTTTGGAGGTGCCTGTGGAATATCTGGCATGGTGGGATCTGACTGGCCAAATATCTCTTTGCCCCTAGAGAGGTATCATAGGCCCCCAGGAGGTTCCCTCCTCTTGGTCACAGGTGCTGGTAAAGCTGAGGGATTTCTTCCATCTCCTTATGGATTTTGTGCTTGTGTCTTGATTGCGGATCGGATGTGGATCAGCATGTTGGTGCCCATCAGCTACAGCAGAGGCTCCGTGTTGACCTGCAGTGGTGTTTCACCTGCCTCCGTTCTCCCTTCAAATTCAGTCATCTCTGCATGGGGGATAAGAGAAGTACTCGGTGACATCTCAGAAGAGATAGGAAGAACTGTCCTTGGAATCACCGAACCCTAGCCAGAGACTGCTGCTGGGAAGCCTACAGGTCTATGAGACAGATCTGTCTAAAGGCTGCTGGAAAGCCTGAAGGAGGTCAAAGAAAGATGGAGAAAGTTGAGGACTTGGTATGGAAGACATAGTCTCCCCTTCCTCCTCCGTAAGGTGTTTCACCTCACCTAGCGTGTAGCAGCCAAGACAAGACGCTCGGCTTTCCAAGGAATGTCATTTAGTAACTTGCAGCCAGTAAAACAGACGCTGACTTTTAGTTGGCTGGGGAAAGCAGGCTTTTCAGAAGGTGAAGCTTCACTTTGCAATTGAAACAAGAGTTTGTTCCCCTGTGCTAGCCTGGGATTTTGAGGCCATGCTAGGGCTCGGTGCCAGAAGGCAGGAAGGCGGAGCCCTGGAGATGAGTAGTCTTTCCGAGGTTTAACAGCTGGGCCTCACTTGGAGGGAAAACAGGCAGATCTGCTGAACTTTTATCCTGCTAATTCTCTGTCTTGCACCTAGGAATTCTCTAAATGGAGGTAAATGAGACATGTTAAGAGACTTTGCCTTTCCCCTTTCAAATGGGCTGGTAGAGGGCGGTAAAGTGACTGTCAATGGCTTGTGGTTGTCCCCAGCAGGCTCAAGAGTGGCCAAAGCAAGGCTGGTGCAGTGGCCATGTGGACTAAAGCAACACTGGCTTGTTTTCTCCTCTGCTGATACAACTTTCCAAGGTAGAGCTTGGCTGAGCTGGGCTTAGGAGCCGGGGGGGTTGGAGGGGGTGCGATTAGCAGGAGATTTTTCTCCTCCCCCCTCATAAACAGATCAGCTCCGCCAGCAAAGAAGTTGAGCGCAGACGGAGCGCGTGTCCCCAGACCTGGCAGCCCAAGTGGAGACACCAGGGCTCACCAGGGTTGTTAGATATTGCAGGAGCGAGGGTCCAAGCCAGGGCTGGCTGTGCCGCCGGGCCGTCTCAAGGGAGCCGCGGTCCCCCTCACGGGCAGAGCTCTGAGCAGGGCGGAGGAGGCTGCGCTCCCGCGTTTCGGTCTCCGGCCGTCCGATCGCTTATCGCCGCTGCAGGAAGCAGAGCCGCGAGGGCCCCGGCAGGAAGGGTGTGCGGTGGGATGGGTGACGGGGCGCAGCGCAGCGCTGGGCAGCCTGCGTGGGTGCCGGGTGCTCCCTGCGGGTAGCACGGCCACCGTTGTTCGGAGTTAGCAAAGAGCCGGGGCCTGTTGTCTTTGGCTTTGCCTGCGCAGCGCCGCGGGTGGGGTTTCTTGTATTTTATCTGATCAAAACCATTTTGCATGCTCAAACAAGCCAAGCTGCTCAAGAACAACTTTCTTTTCTGAATAGTGGGGGGTAGTAATTTCAATAAAAAGCTGCCCCTGTTGCACTTATGCCTCCTTTCTTGCACCAAGTTGGCCGCTTTCACCCTGAGGCAGGCAACGTTTGGAAGATATCCAGGAGCCTACTGTAATATTTTGGCAGGTGAATACTGGTCTGTAAACACAGAAAAATTACTGAAAAGTTAGAACAAAGGGAGATTGCCTTTAAAAGAAATATTTTGCTAAAGCTATACCTAAAGATACGGGCTGGAGGCAGGGTGGGTGGTGAACCTGAATGTGTGTGTATGCATGTGACTCCCAGAGACCGTTTCAAGAGCATCCTGTTGATGTGAAATACGTCTTGAGTGTAAGAGTCCTCCTTTGGTCAGTGCCCAAAGCCTGCCGTTGTTAATGGAAAGGCTCATTACTGACTTTAGTGGGCATCTGGAAGACTTTTAAGAACTGACAGCAGGAGCAAAATAATTGCCAGAGCACATTAGCTTGCTGGACTGTTGAGCAAGGGCAAAGGCAGCGCTGCTGCGAGCGGCAGGGCTGTGCCAGTCACAGCCTGTGGCCCCACGCAGCGTAACCCATCTAGCTGGGAAGCTCCTGCCCGAATCGGGCCAGCATCAGGAAACTCAGCACCATCGCTTCAGTGCTGACCGTGTGGGTCTGCCTGAGGGGTGGCCTTTGTGCATTTAGGCACTGTGAGTGATTTCACTCTTAGTAAACTGAGTGCAGGCCAGTAGAGCCAATGTTGGAGGCGTCCTTGTTCCCCCAGCCTTACAAACGTACCGAGCTTTGTGCAAGCAAGCAGTCTGTTTGCTCAAACAGATTCACCTGGGTAAAATCTCTTGCCTTCAGAAGCATTTGCAGCATCTGTAAAGGTCATGAAGAGGAGAACGAGCTGTCTCTCTCTCCCGGGAGCCACCTTTTTTTCTTGGGTTTTTTCCTCTCCTCCGCTCATAAACACAAGCTGGCTCTCTGCAAACCTGGCTGGTTTTGCCACGAGGCTTTGCAGATAGGCATGCGTGCGCCTCTCCTTCCCTCTGGCTCTGTGCTTGCTTTCGCAGGCATGGGGATTGCTTTGGCTTGCTTTTTTGGGAGAAAGAGGGTCTGGTCCATAACCCCACTGGCACAGGTGGTGGGGTGCTAAGAGTCGGCACGGGCGATGGGTGCCAGGCTCAGAGCAGGACACGGCTTCAGTCTCACAGCCAACACAGGGCACCGATTTCCTGTTGTTTTTAAGGCTCTGCACTCGTTTGTCTGAGAAAATGTCTATTGTGTTTTGGTTGCCCTCCTAGAAGGTGATTCATTGCCTTGGCCAATGCAGAGCGTTTTCTCCCCCTCCCTCGGTGCAAAGCTGAAGTTTTCCCTCTTGCGTGAAGTGGCGCGAGCAAGACCTGGAGCGATCGCTCACTCACAGTGCAGCCCGCTGGGGAGGCTCTGCGGAGCCTGCCCCACACCTGCCAAGCCGCTGGCCTGGGCGCCCACCGAACCTCCCTCTGCAACCCACTCACCCGCATGGTTTTTAACCCTTCAGTTTCAGGGAAGGGGAAAAGAAGCCCCAGAAACCCTTACCTGCTCGTATGGAGAACGACCGCGTCTTTGGTGACCTGTGGGGAAAGAGCAACATGCCCGTGGTCCTCAACAACCCCTACTCCGAAACAGAGCAGGTAAGACCTGTCACTTGCGCTGCTATGGGTGGGAGGAGGCTTGGCGGTGGGAGAACCGTCCTGGTGGGTCTCCCAGCACAGGCAACGTGCAAGGGCTTCCCTTGCTGCCGTGGGCGCTCCTGATTTCAAGGGGAAGGAGGGAGCTCAGCACTGGGCAGGATGATGCCCATCAGAGAGTAGTAAAGCTGTGTGCAAGTGCTGCAAGGCTCCCAGCCCAGCCATGGCCAGAGCTGCTCGCAGTCATCAGCCAATAAAGATGTCGCGGTGGCCTGAAGTTCCTTAAATCACTGCTCAGCAGAGCTGCGGTTTCAGGGCACGGGATCCACGCTCTAGTCTGCCCTTGAGCGTGCTGATACAAAGGCCATGGCACCTCGCTCTTGTCCCCCAGCACCCTCTCTGCTGGGGCTGCCCCAGTGTGGCTGGAGGGCGTAGGGCCCCTTTGGGCCACAAACCAAATTCCCCTTGGCTGTACCAGGAGGGAGCAGCAAGGCTGAGGCTCGGCCAGGGTGTATGTCTCTGGAGAATAATATTCTAGGCGAAGGGGCTGAGGCAGGGTCAGGAGCATGGCGGGGAGAGCAGGGGCAGCACACTCATTCTCGGAAACCTTCCCTCGGGATCGCCATCGCTTTCCGTGGCGAAAAGCCGAGTCATGTTGTTAAGCTCGTTTTGATTTGTATGAAGGTAATTCAATACAGCACTTCAGCTAATATGTTGTACGGTGCCTTTTCATCTCCGCGCGCTCCGCAAGCATAAATTCTCAGGCTTTCCTGCCAAAAGTGGATTAACTCCACGTCTGTAGCAAAGCCAGAGACGCAAGGCGGCGTCTGCCAGGCCAGAAGGATCATCTCGGGGAAAACATGACGTACCTCAACGTGGCCAAGCCCATTTGGCCAAACGCGTCTCCCAGGTGAGACTAACTGGCAGCGGGGGCAGGACCATGGGGTACCGGTCCTGGGACATTTGGTCTCCTTGCCTGCCCTCTCCCTAGTGGATTTCTCAGGGTGACCTAGTAAGGAATATTTTCGAAGGGAGGGGAGGAAAGCAGATTAATGGTCACAGAAAGACTTCCAAGAAAATCAGAGTTGCCTCAACTCAGGAGCTTCCTCAGCAGAAAGGGCAGCGCTGCACGGGCCTGGCCACTGCTTCTTCCTGGGTCTCAAAGAGCTACAGTGTTAACCTTCATTAACGTGCTGCCTGCAGGCCGGGTTTGCTGTGCTCGCAGGGGCCACACACAGTGTAGTTAACACCGATATATTTTGCCTGGCATCGATGCCCCAGTAGTGTCCAGCAGCTATTCCTGGTCCGGGCCCCTCTGCTCTTTCAACAGATATTTTCCTTTTTCCAAAGAGTTTCCAGACTAAGATGAGATGCAAACCCAGAAGCAGGGAGGTGATGGGACCCGCCATTATTGCATATAATGAGCCTGTGAGTAAGGCAGGGAGAGGAGCACACTTGCCAGCGCCCTGTGGCGAAGCTTATGGCAGGGGTCACCTCGCACTGTCCTGGAAACCTGACTCCTCAGCATGAAGTTCATTAATGCCCTGCATTGCCTGCTCTGCACCGCAGAGAGGACCTTCACCTTCCTCAGCCTGCTCTCTGAGAGCCACATCCTGCATCTTCAGAGACATGACAAGATCCCTTCATACCCACAGAGGTGAAAGGGGCTTGGCAGTGCGTGGTGTTTCACTTGACAGCTTGGTTGTGGTGGGTTAACTCTTCCCAGGCCCCCTTTTCCCACTGTGCTGGAAGCACCACCGGTCTGCCTGCAAGTCCTGAGCAGGACGACGTTCATGTGCACTTTTAAAGTGTGCACGAGGTATCTGACATGCATCGGGCACGTGAGACCCCACTGTGCAGGGAGGCTGAGATAATCCTGACTGTGTCAGATCTGCTGCCCACTTCTAGCCAACCTGTGTTGAGTGCTCAGTTCAGAGCGATTTCTGTCTTCCCCTCGCCAGCTCTTGCGGCAGCGTGGACGATCATACCATGGGTATCGTCATATGTTGCCATATGCAAATGGGTGCATCCAAGAGCTGCAGAGCCCTTCGCTCAGCCACTGCAGAGACATCCCTGGGCAGCCCCATGTCCTTCCTAATGCGCAGTGGCAGGTATCACAAGTCCATCTCACCCAAGGACAGGTGACACTTCGGCCCCTTTCCCCTGGCTGTGAAAAGAGACTGACTTTCTGCTTTCTTTGCTAAGCTCCTTGCATGTATGTGTCTGTTACTATAAGCACTTTATAACCTTCTGTGTTCAGAGCTTAATTTCTCTCCATGTTAAATCCCCAGTCTTAAGCTGCTATTAAACTCATTTTTGTTTTTTTTTTCACTAGATGTGCGGGCTTTCTTTTTATCCTTCTTATCCCCAAATCATTATGCCTCCTCTGCTGGAAGCAGTTTGGGTTTTTCACGTACTCCCTGCAGTCTCCAGAGCGGCAGCCAGCCTCCCTGCTTCCTCTGCAGAAGCTCCCAAGGGTTGGATGTGGTCAGGGCGACAGTGACCTCGACATGACATCTCCACTGAACACCCACGTCCCTGCCCGTGTTTCTCAGCTGGACTGAGCTGCAGGATGCCTCCAAAACCAACCCCGGGGCACTTGCTTCCCAGAGATAGTGGTTTTCCCGGGACTCGCACTGGTCAGGGTTATATGGAGGGCACGTGAAGACGAGCTGTGCTTGGGTTAACAGTACTATGGAGAAGGCAGAGCGTTTGCTACCATGAATAGTTTCACTGAGCTTATTGCAAACGGCAGTTAATCAGCATTTAATGCAGCAATGTTGGTGAGCCAAGCCAGACATGAGCTTTTTATACATGTTGTTCTTAAAGCGGCATTTGGTGGATTCACTTGTCCAGGTGGGGAATGCTCACGGGCGCTTGCAATAGCGTGTGAAAGACCAGCTGGGTATGGGTCCCTCTTCTCGATCTTTTTTTGCAAAATCATGCGGTGTGTTTTGCCTTTTTCCCAGAAAACCAGTTCACCTGACCTTAAACTTTTCTGACAGAAAAATGTTGTGACTTCACCAGACTGGGTCCAGCATGAGCCATATTTCAGCTCGTACAGATTGATTTGTTAGGAACAGTGCAGTAACCACGGGGGCGTGCGGGCGCATGTTAGCAGGGGAAGGGAGTTAGCTCAGCTCCTGGCTTGTAAGGATGATTTACAGCTTTATAATGGGGGAAAATACGTTTTCAACTAGCAGAGCTAATGCAGTCTGGAAGGAAATGTCAGCAGGCTAATACATCTATGACCTGGGGTAATGCTCCAAGTCTGGTTCCCCCCATAGTTGCAGGGCCTCCTGAAGCCTATTTGGGAAGAAGAGGAAGGCTATGGACCTATAAAGCCCCCTTGGGTCTGCAAAAAGCGGAATACTCCCTGCCTTTTGGGACCCAAGAAGCACTCAGGGCTGGGTGCATTTCTCCTCTCCGTTTGTAAGACCCACAGACAGCTTGCAAGCTGCACGCCGACGATAAGTGCCAACCTGCTCTGTTGTAAAAGATGTTTGCATAATGCATGCGCGCTTGGCTGCTACAGTAGTCTCTCTGTTTGTCCCACTCTTGAGTCACTAATATCACAGCTGCCTAAAACACGAAAGGATCTCATATAACCTCCCTGACAGAGCCGGCTTCAGATACGCCTCACAGAGAAGGCATACACACATACAGAGCACTTTCCCACGTTCTCCCAGGCGCCGCTTTCCCCATGGCTGCTCTGTGCGGTAGCTGCCAGGCCTGGTGACTCTGCTGCTTGTAGGTGGTGTCACCTCAGCTGTTCCAGCCCTGCAGGCATCCCAGCAAGTCAGCATGCCTCTTCACCGCGGCCCTCTTTCAAGAACAATGCAAACTTCACAAGTGTCTTCAGTGAAAAGACAAAAAGGAAAAGGAGTGGCTCGGAGAAGGCCGTAAAGTAGAACATTTGAAGGCAGATGTGAGGCCACCAGCATCTACTAGCACACGCACAGGGGTTTGCTTGCTTCAAGGATGCGACATTCCTACGGCTGGATTCATAGCACGCTCTCAGGCCATGTATGTTTTAGCAAGATGCCTTGTGATTGAAGCACAGCCTACTGTAAGATCTTGAAGATACGTCGCTGCTTCCCCGCTGGCCAGCGTGAAGCTCACTATCACAGAATACACTGGTAGATACTGACCTCTCTTTAAGTGTCTCAGGTGCTTAGAGCAAGCAAGGGTTACAGTGCAAATGCTAAATATTATATTTGAAAATGTGTGCAAATACAAGCACTTGGAAGCAGAACACGCAGTCAGGTCCTCTCGTTATAAGCTCTCTGCTGGCCGAGCGTGATTCTTATGTTGAGATATAACTCACGATGCGCTAGACGAGCGTGCCCTGACGTAGATATCAGGGAGGCCTGGAGATTCAGAGCTGTGACTGAAGTAATCCAACTATGCATAATTCAATAGCCTTTCTGCTCGCATACTTTATCCATCCTTACTCCTACGTTCTTCCAGCGCTGATATCAGAGACATGCGTTTGGTGTGCTTGGAGGAATGATCAGCTCCGTCTCAGAGTGTTCATATCAGTGAGGGAGGCCTTGGCACATGTAAAACCTGAGCAGGTGATGCTCCGTCAGAAGATATATCTAATATATATTTTAGAGAGGAAAGTCTTCCACTGGGAAACTTGAGCACAGTATAATTTCTGCCTCTGCTTCTGTAACTCTTCTTTCCTCCAGGTTTGGCTGTCCAGTAAACAGAGTTAACTTTCCAATCGCACTGAGAGTCGATTGCTCCATTACAGGATCTCAAACGCTGCCAAATATTGGCCAGCACTTTAAGATCATGCGTCTTGTCTCACCATATTATCATTAGGATTTAAGCATAAGCATCCACAGGAGAAATCTGCTTATCCAAGATGCCCATTGTTGCTATGGCCTGTGTTTTTCCTGTATCTCTCTGACAAATATTAACCTTGTGCCTGGTCTTCACTGTTGTCCAGCCACCACCACCAGGGCGGCAGTCCCCGACTAAGAACACAGTGAATGGAAGTCCTTCCAAATGCCCACGGTTTGTCAAAATCAAGAACTGGGAGACAGGTTCTGTACTTCACGATACCCTGCATCTCAAGACAGCAATGGTGAGTAGAGTTGAAATCACTGGCCAAAAGTTGTCTGAGCATGATTGAGTGGACTGCAGTATTTCCAAGATGGGTTTGCCTGGAAATACTCATCTAGACGAATTCAGGCCAATTTTCTTGGCTCCTGTAGTATCTGAATGGCAAACCTATGGAAGCTGGTACACTAAGCTGGGTGAGAGGAAAGTCCATCTGGGAGGAATAAGGAAAAGCATAAGACTTCGTGCCAGGCTGAGGTAGGAATCTTAGTGAGCTGCAGTTGTCTGTATCAGGTGGGGTAAGAGATGACTATGCATGTTGAACTGTCTTACGCAACATTACTGATAGATGTGAAAACAGATAAGCTGGAAATGTCCCTGTCTGTCAGAATATCACCAGCTTCAGTGCAGCTAATCACCAGCTTCCCCCAGCCCTGTTCACGTAACTGATAGTGCTTCAGAAAATCAGGACCCACTCATCATTTTTTGTCTCATCAGGCTACTGCGTGCACTGAGCAGATCTGCATGGGCTCAGTCATGACTCCCAGCCAGCATGTCCGCAAGTCAGAAGATATCAGAACGAAAGAGGAGGTGCTCCTTCTGGCTAAGGACTTCATTGACCAGTACTATTCCTCTATAAAGAGGTAAGTATTGGCTGGAGAAGGTCACAGGCCCTGGCTATCACTCATGCTAAGATATAACATACAATCTGATCTTTCACTCTTGCAAGTCAAGGCAGGGTGAGACTGGTGTGTTCCAAGTGCAGCTGTTTCTGTAGTGGAGTTTTTTGTTCATAACATTTGTCGTATGCCTCAGTGCAAACTACTGAGCTCTCCCACTTGCACTTGGTATGCTGTTAGCTGAAAACACACATGTATGTGCATGCACGTGTGTGTGTGTGTGTGTGTGTGTGTGTGTGTGTGTGTATGCACGTATGTGTGCAAGAAAGAAAGCAGGAGTCTCTGCCCTCCATCCTGGCTGGTGACTGTTGTCTTCTCCTTTCCCCCTGCATGCAGATCTGGCTCCAAGGCTCACATGGAAAGGCTGGAGGAAGTGACAAAGGAGATTGAAGCCACAGACACCTACCAGTTGCGGGACACAGAGCTCATCTATGGAGCAAAGCATGCCTGGAGAAATGCTGCCCGCTGTGTGGGCAGGATTCAGTGGTCCAAGCTACAGGTGAGCACCGGCTCATCTGGAGTGGGCTGGCGGGTTGCCTGCCAAAGGATTCACTGGAGCTTTGGTAAGGCCATTCTTGCTCTTCAAATACACGGGGAAGCACAGCATGGGTACAGCTGTGGGTGATGAAAACACAGAGCGGCCAAGCTCTCCCCAAAGGCTTTGGAGATGCAGAGGCTGGGAAGGGAGCTGGAACTGCAAAAGCATCTATGGGGGAAGGTGCAGCAGAGGTGTCTGTGTCTGAAACCTGGCCAAATGGAAGCTGGTGCTCTAAAGAACATTTTCCAAAATAGATACCGCTCCAATATCCCACATGCTGCTTCCAAAACTGCAGCTCTGCCTGGAGAAAGGCAGCAGGACACACCCATCGTTGGTACAGTCAGAGAGGTTATGGCAGGAGAAGACTTGGCTCAGTGCCCTTTTGACTGAGCTGGGAGCACACAGGTAGGATCTGAATTAGTGATCTGTAGTGGAATTTGCATTCTCTTGGTATGGAGATGACGTGTCACTTCATAATCCAGAGCATAGCTCAACTGTTGCTGAGCAATTCCTGTGGCTGCATTGTGCAGGGTATTGGCACCTCTGGGACCAGAAGGCTGGGCCTCCTTCACTCCCAGTTCAGCCTTCAGCTCTTCTGTTCTCCTGCTTCTTTTGGCTAATTTGAACTTTGGGGGAGAGCGACTTCTGCAAGAAATTGTCTTCAAGCCTGCAGCTGGCCCTCCTTCCTGAATTTCCCACCCTCTCTGCGTCTCTCAGACCTGACTTACACCTCTCCTATTTCACACTTGAGTCTTGATCTATGAGAGACAAACAACAGAAACCAAAACTACTGGTGGATGAGTCAGGAACAGCAGTGGGTTGAGAGCACTGGACTGGGGCCATTCTTGCTTAAGCAGAAGATGAATCACCTCTCCAGAGCAGAAGAGGCAGCCGTATTAGATGTCCCCGTGTTAAAATGGCACGAAACACATAATGGTGTAGCTCTAGATAACTAATGCATCACAGTGGCCCCTTGGGCTTTCTACTGTGCTGTGTTTCTTCTGCTTGGCTTGGCCTTCTGCACTGGAGCATGAACCTTGTAGCATAACTTCTCTTGCTTCCACTGTTTCAGGTGTTTGATGCCCGAGACTGCACCACAGCCCATGGGATGTTCAATTATATCTGCAACCACATCAAATATGCCACCAACAAAGGGAATCTCAGGTGAGCCATCTGGGAGTGATCAGAGTTTAAATCTGAGGGCCTGTGGATGTGTGTTAACCCAGCTCTGGTCCCTGCTGACTTTTGTCTCCTTCATTTGTTGCCGCACAACAGGAAGCTTGTAGCTGGCACCTGTCTTGGGGAGCATTAGAGGGCTCTGCTGCCAGGGCGAGGGTGTCCTGCTCATGCAAGCCTATCTCTGTTCTTGCTCTCCATGGGACCAAGAAAAGCAGATTTTCCAATTGTTTGGCCCTTCCTATATTTGGCCCTTCCTCCCCCGTCAAATGCAGAGAACGGACTTCTCTCCAGATCTCTCTGAAACACCCTGTTAGCAGCCAGCTTCTCCCTGGAGCTGAATTGCTGGAAATTCCCCAAATTCCAGAGCTGGGGTATATCTGGCCGAGATTTCTTCCAGTGAAGGAAACGTAATAAATGACCCTCCTCTTCAATATTTTGCGTCCTGCCCAAAAGTGTTACCCTTAAAACACTCCCCACCTAAGGGCAGTGGCCGGACAGGAACAAATCCTCTCTATCCAGATGTCCAGGTGTGTCTCCCTGTTCTCACAGGATATGAGAACACCCCGCTTTGGATGTTGGGGCTTGTCCAGGTCACAGGCAGAGGGTCTGAGGAACGGGGTGCTGGGCAGGCAAGGGCTGCACGTTTCCCTCACAACATTTCTCCATTTCTCTAATGAACCCTATCCTATGCTCTTGTGATTTCCATGGCATTCACCAGTGCTACCTCTTCCTTCCAGATCTGCTATCACTATATTCCCACAGCGGACAGACAGCAAGCATGACTTCCGGATCTGGAACGCCCAGCTCATCCGCTACGCTGGTTACAAACAGCCCGACGGGACTATTCTGGGAGACCCAGCAAATGCAGAGCTGACGGAGGTATATGGCTGAAGCCATCCTTCCTGGGCATCGTGGGCGTGTGGCCAGTGGGGAAATGCAGCAGCTCTGACCATCCCAGGAGCCCAAATAAGATGGAGCATCTACGCAGGATTTTGCTTCCTTCTAGTCCATCTAACACAGGGGTGGCCAGCCAGCAGCTGAGGGGATATTGCTCCTGGCATGGCAGATTTATCCACCCCTCCCAAATGCTGGCTGACCAGGCAGGCAGACTGGACGGGATGCTTTGCACTTGGGGTGAGGAGGATGCAGACTGATGCTGGGTGCCATGCTGTAGTGCCAGATAAGTGAGACTTAACTATTTCCCCAGAGGAATAAAAGCTGTTCCCACACATGCAGGAGTTGGCCATAGCTGTAGTAGAAGACTCTTAGCCTTATTTTCCTTTTGCGGAGAAGGGGAAGCTTAGTAGTGCTAAGGGAACTGTTGCTGGTGGACATGTGTGCCCACCACTGACCTAGGGCAGTGGAAACCAGAAATGAGAGGTATGCCTTGTGCTGCTGCCCTTTTCCACTTTTCTCACCCATTCACCTCTCTTCTCCATCTATACAGGCACAGATATGGTAAGCAGCTTTTTCAGAGCCATGATCCTTTCTGGGGATTTTGTTCTAGGCTCACTTTCCCTGCAGTTTCCTCTGGGCACCACTTACCCTGGCCGTGGGTTAGCTGTGTCGTAGCTCCTTTGGACAGAGAATGTTCCTCAACCGTAAGGGCTGAGTGGAGATGCTGTTAGGAGAGGCCACCTAGTGCAGTATGACTCCCTGCTCACAGAGACCAGAGGGCAGATGATCTACTGGGACTTTTAACCCTAGGTTTGTTTTTGCCTTAGATCTGCATTCAGCAAGGGTGGAAGGCACCATATGGGCGCTTCGATATCCTGCCTCTGCTCCTCCAAGCCAATGGCAATGATCCAGAGCTCTTTGAAATCCCCCCCGAGCTCGTGCTGGAAGTGCCCATCCGGCATCCCAAGTAAGTCAGAGAAGGCCCCAAAACTCAAGGGGATCAGCAGGACTCAGCTCCTCTGGCTTCACAAGAAACCAACTCCTGTGCACGGCCTTTCCTTGTCATGGCTTGGGTGCTTTAGTACTCCCTTTTCCAGATCTTCCCTTCCTTCTGCATGGAAAGCTGGCCGAGTCAGGGGTAGAAAGCAACTTGGATTCCTGTCTCAGGGCTGGTTTCCCTTTTCTTGAAGTCTATTAGGACTTATGTTGCTCTGTAACACTCCTGATGTGTCACCCTCTCCTCATAAACAGCCCCTAATGGAGGTATTGCCTCCGCAGACCATTCTGCTCACGTGTTCTTGAGCCTGGTGGCTCATGGCGAAGTAGCCTCCTCCATTCCCCTGCCTGCATCTCACAGAGGAGGTTTGGCTACTTGCCTAATCCTCTTGTGTCCTGGCAGGTTTGAATGGTTTAAGGACCTGGGCCTGAAGTGGTACGGTTTGCCTGCAGTTTCCAACATGCTCCTCGAGATTGGTGGCTTGGAGTTTTCTGCCTGTCCCTTCAGCGGCTGGTACATGGGCACAGAGATTGGGGTCCGTGATTATTGTGACAACTCTCGCTACAACATACTGGAGGTAATTCCCCCCTCCTCGTGGCAGGTCAGGCGTTCCTTGCAGTATGTTGGGTGTGTGTGTAGTTACTGGGGAGCAGAACAGGACCCTGGGACGGTGTGACCTTGGGTGGGAGAGTGCAGGACATGCAAGGCCCCCTTACAGGTAGCCACTGCAAAGCAGTTGTGTTCTGCTGGAGGCATACAGCCAGAGAAGCTACAGGGCTGGCAAGTTTTGCTGTGTCCTATAAGGCCAGCTGGTACTAAACACAACAAAGCTGATGTCTCTTAAGCATCCCCTAGACATCTGAAAGCATCATATGGGTCAGCAGGCACCTGGTGAGTTGGGGGCCTGTGACATCTGTGTGCTTGCTAGGGATCAAGTGCTGAGGGACATGGTGGGGGTGAGCGGGTGCTGAGACACTCAGTGACTCCTCAGAGATGTGTCTGTCCACGGGGACCCTCCAGCTGGCCCATCTGAGAGGAACTGCCAGATGCTCTTCTGTGGCTCGGGGACTCCCCGCACTGGGTACTGTGTGAGTCAGAGACGAGGCCAAGCTGTGGTGAGATGCTGGCACTGTAGATGGAGAAGGAGGAGGTGGGGGAAAAAAATCCAAATCTCACAACAGCAGTACGAAACGCAAGATGAATCTCACTCAGCTCCTTCTCCGCTCTGCCTTTCAAGGGGCATGCTGTGTTTCTCTGAGGGGGTGCATCCTTCTCAACTCTCTTGAGAGCTCACTTGGAAACCAGAGGGCTCAGAACGAGTGTGTGTGTGTGTGTGTGTGTGTGTGCGTGTGTGTGTTCGTGTGCACATGCACATGTGTATAACAGCATTTGGGAAAAGAATCTACGTGGAAGAAAAGGGCTGAGAAGTAATGGAGTTTGGGAGCTGCAGAGGTCTGGCATGGGGTGTGATGGCAAAGGCCTATTGCTCCCAGCTTGCATCACCATCCTCTCCTGCTATACTAGGGACCCAACAAAGAGCAGCTGCTTTCTATGTCCCTTCTCAGCAGCCTGTGGGAAGGAGGGGAGAGGGAGGAGGCCATACTTGCCTTGCTCCAGTTATGGAGAGGAAGAAGCAGGACCACATCTCAGAGGAAGGCAAAACTATCTGCCACGTGTTGCAAGGGTGCTGCCCTGTCCTCTGTGTGCCTTGAGTGAACATGGCTCATTCCTTTGGGTTTCTCACTCTCTCAAGCAGAGACCTTCAGTCCTTCAACCATGTTTTGTTACAGCAAGTGGCCAAGAAAATGAATTTGGATATGAGGAAAACTTCCTCGCTGTGGAAGGACCAGGCCTTGGTGGAGATCAACATTGCTGTCCTGTACAGCTTCCAGGTACCTGAGTTGCAGGACTCACTGTGGTGTTCGGGTGAGGCTTGAGGGATGAAAGACTTGAGACTGGATGGGAGAAGTGTGGAGACATCTGCCCAAGGACAATGGCAGCTACTGATACACTCAGCTAAAATTGTGCCATGCCTTCCTAATTTCAGGCTGTTCCAGGAGCCTGCAGTGAAATTTAATAATCGCTGTGCCCTGGATGTTGCAAAGACAGCACTACCACAGTCTGAGCTCTGCCAGTCCAGAGGGAGTGCCCCGAGGGGGCAGGATCCAGCCCTTCTGTACTGTCTGAGACAAGAATTGGCAGTGATGACATCAAGAATATGGCCCAGGCTCTCCCCACACTTGCACTTAAAGGTTGAGTAGCAAAACTAGTCCTTGGTAACCCAACTTCAGAGGGTGGGAGTCCTTTCCAGAGCTGGATCCTTGAGTTCTGCAAGACCTGAACGAGGGGGCTGAGCAGTGGCATGCTCCAGCCTGTTTGTGCCATCTTGGTCCTTACTCAGCCCATGACAAATAACAAGAGAAACACCCATCCCATGGCTTGTCTACTCAGGAAGGACAAGGGCTGCTTCTCAGCTGTGGAAAAAGGCATTGCTCAATGACTGGTCTTTGGAAAGATTGAGGCAGCCACTCTGTGCTCATTTTTAAAGGTACAGTCCTGTAGGAACATGGGAGTGAGGCATTTTTGGTCAAATAATTCTAAACATTAAAAAAAAAAAGAGAGAAAGAGGATATATAAGGGCTGCCTTCTGTGCCTTCCCACAAGGCCCTTCTCATGGACCAAGGCCCTGCTCATGGACCAAGAGGAGGACTCTTGGTCCATGAGCATCCCTCAGCTTCTGGCCAGTGGTCGTTCATGGCATTTGTGTCTGCTACATTTAATGCTTGATGTACACTTGCATCTAGAGCTCTGCTCCCTGGCCATAGTCCTCCCTACCAAAGTGCCTGGATTTGGCTTTCACTGTCTGTGGAGTATTAACTGGCAGTTCTTGGCTCTGCTCTCTTCTTCTCCAACAGAGTGACAAGGTGACCATTGTGGATCACCATTCAGCCACAGAGTCCTTTATCAAGCACATGGAGAATGAGTATCGATGCCGAGGAGGCTGTCCTGCTGACTGGGTGTGGATTGTCCCACCAATGTCTGGCAGCATCACCCCTGTTTTCCATCAGGAGATGCTCAACTACCGTCTCACACCCTCCTTTGAATACCAGGTACTGTCTGCACCCTACCTTCCTCTAGTGTTGCATGCCCAAAGGTGTAACTAAGAGCAGGGTGGGAGCTAGAGGAACCAGGAGAGGCAGCAAGGAGAGGGACATCACCCAGTCCCTTGACAGGCCCTTCACTTCAACAACTGCCCCTCAAGTCAGCGAAGCCATGGATATGTCTAATTGATGATCCCTCTATTCTGGTGTAATAACCAGAACTCCCTTCTCCCGAGGAGCTGGCTCTCTGCCCCTCCCTGGGAGCATGGGACACCTTAGGCCCCAACGCGTACCTTTGGTTCAGGCAGAGCTAAGCGGAGCTCCTCCTTTTGGAAGTGCCTGATTTTGCTCTTTGGTCGGTAAGTGGGGAAATGCCCTAGCAGTCACTGCCTCCCTCCTCTCTCCAGCTTGCAGATTTGAGTAGATGGCTCCTGCCAGCTTGGGGATCCAACAATTTGATTGGGGGCTCCTGCTCAACAAGCCAAGCTGCAGACTGACATGATGGTGCTGGAGTATTTAGCACTTCAGACCATGGGAAAAAGGGCCCTAAGCAAACACACCCTCATTAACCAAACATCCCTGCTCTGGTGGTTTTTCACACAATGTGACCTTTAATCAAGAGCCCTTAAGGAACAATTACAAAACAGAGAGCAGTCTGTTCATTTTTATAATCAATCCACCAGGAACCCCGATGATTCCTGGCCCTGATTACAGACAGCAGCCTGCAAGAGCACTGCATTAGCTTCTGTGCACTTGTTCCTTTCTTCAGCTGACCACCCTTCCCAAAGAGCCTCTAAAAAAAAAGAGATGGGGATTGGAGAGGAGAAAGGATGTGTTTCCATTTCCTCCCTTTTCTGGCAGTGCCTATCTTCTTTTTGGTCGTTGCTTATTAATGCTCATTTTAGAGGTGAGGGAGCATTTGATCAGATGCTGCTACAAGCCACCAACATTTTGTTATATTGCAATTGTCTGTGCATCCTTAAATGCTCACATACCCCAAGAAACCCATGAGCACCAAGGATCAGGGACCTCTTGGTAGAAGAGATCGAGAACTGTGAAGAAGGTCTGAGGCCAGCTAATTCTCCCTTTCAGGACTAGGGGAATTCAGTGCTGAGCACCATGGATATAGCATTTCTCAAAGAGCTAAGCACTGCCCATCAGCTGATGCTGCTCTTCTCTCTCCTAGCCTGACCCTTGGAACACCCACATCTGGAAAGGGGTCAATGGGACACCTACTAAGAAGAGGGCCATTGGCTTTAAGAAGCTAGCAAAGTAAGTTCCAGTGGGCTCTGAAAAGCCCTGGAGTGCCATGGGCTCGTCCTGGTTTTGGGCAGCTCCGCTTGCTGTCTTGCTTGGCAGCCTGCCCTAAGGATGTGTGCAGACTTCTGGGTGCTGGGTTGTGAGCTTGGATTCGAGGCTGCTAAAGGCTTCAGTCACCAAGAGGGACATTCGGAGAAACAGGTAGCCCTTTGAAAATCCCTGTAGACCTTCAAAAGGTGTGTGGATGGGGGCAAGTGAACGCTGAATATTGCATGTAGTCTCTGTTCCCAAGAAGTGTCACTCTCCAGGAAGGTGGTCTTCAAAGCTGGAGGATAGCTTTCTTACTTCTTGGGATTATATCACCTGCTTCTCCTTTCACAGTCTCCTGGGGCAGAGATCAGTCACCATTGTTCAGAGCAATGCTGACACGAGCAAGATCAAACTCTCATCCATATTTCTCTCACTGACTCATTAGCTACTTGAGGAGCAGTTTTCACCAGTGTCTAAACCTCTGACTGTCCCTTTGCAAGGAGGAGGGAGATGGGAATAAGGAATCTTCCTACATGTTACAGAGTGATCAGGACCACAGATCTGAGCAGCCATTGTTTTTTAGAGCAAAGCTGAGATTCAGACTTCATGGCTAGTTCTGCCCTTGTAATGGGCCATGCAAGCCCCTATTCCATGCCAAATGCTCCTAAGCTCCCAGTCAGCAGGGATCTAGGAAGGAAGTGTATTTTGGCCCCTTTGACTGATTCTGGCTTGAACGCCTTCCCTGTGGGCCATTAGCAGGGAAGTTTTTGTTGGAGGTGCTTCACCGAGGAAATAGAGCACTGGACCAAGACTGAGGAGGGCTGGGTCTGCCCTGGTATCCGTGCCCAGGCTGCCAGGTGGCCTTGTGCTGTTCACAGCATTTCCCACGCTTTAGTTTCCTGTGTGCTCGCTATCAGTTTGTTCCCACTCTTCAGCCATCACCTAGTGTAAGCTATTTTCCATGGTACATCTATTAAACATGATCAACAGCTGGGTTGTGAATATACTCCTTAGGCTGGCACTGGAGCGTGGGTCCAGGCTGCAGCCAGGGGCTGGTGGAGAGCTCAGAAAGATTAATGGAGCCATTGAGTTAGAAGAAACAATGGATTTTATTTGTAGCCATCATGTGTGCAGTTGATAAATGTTTTTATAAAAATGTAAGCTTGGCAGGTAAGTTTTTTTAAAAAGAACTCTCCATTGTTCATGACGGGGGAATGTATTTATTTTTTTAATTCATCATTAATCTTGCCTGGATCTGAACTAATCAGAAGAACAAGTGGCGGACCAAGCCCAGCAGTCCTGAGTGTTGCACTTGGCACTGGTTTTGCCGTGATTTTGATGCCTGTTCAGACAGGTTGTGCTGGTTCTGGCCAAATCAAAGGGTTCAAATCTGCAGTCCCTCTCCATCCTGCCCCTCCCCTCCCCAGTGGTCAGTGCAAGCCCCAGAAACAGGAAACTACTGTCAGGGGAAAGCAAAGAGGTGACATTAGTATGCCGAACTACATTCAGAATTGATTCTATAGCAGCGAATGTAAATCTTCATGTGACTGACTTGGACGTGGAAGGGAGCTGCCCAGTGGAGCTCCGCTACTGGGAAGCACTCTGCAGAGACGAGAGCCACTAGCCACACAGCTGGGCTGGAGGAGGCAGGAGGCAACCACCTGGCAGGGTTTCTACCCCTTTTCTCCTCCTTTTTCTTTTTCCCAAGTGAATTTTTAAATGCAGAGTATTTCTCCCCTCCTTGGAAACAGTGGCCAGCTCAAAGACCACTCGGCAGGAGGGCCAGGGGGAAGCTGCACTTCTCCTGCTAGCGTAACCAGTATAGCTGCGGTCTCCACTCCTCCATAGCTCGTCTGCAGGAGCCTGAACCAGATCACCCTGGCATGGGGTGATGCTGAGCCTGCCCTTACTGGACTTTATATTTCGTTACCTTCTGGAGAAACTTTACTTCCAGCTCTGAGCTGTCAAAGTGAATCAAGCAGCCCTTATTTTTGCAGACGCAATACAAGATGCTCTGCGCTCTCCCAGCTCCCCCGCCCCCACACAACTGCCCCTTCCCTTTTGCAACACACGAGGCTAAATCCAGACCTCGGCTCTGACCTGCCTCTTTGGCTTTCCCATTTAGAGGCTTGATGGACCATTTAAAAAGGGTGAAAGTATTCTGCATTTAGGAAAAATAATGTTGATGTCCAAAGCTTGCACTTAGGAATGGCCCTACAATAACAGACTAATGCTTGCCACACCAGGCTCTGCCCCACTGTGCAACCCAAAGATGACTCACGACAGCCTTCCTTGTCCCTCATTGTCGTGCACCCACTGATGCAGATCCAGCCATCAGTAGTAGCATAGAGAAGAAGCCAGTGTTTCTAGTGCTGCATCACCTTGGCCAGGATTAGAGATGCAAGTGACCTCTCAGAGCCTCTCTGCCCTGCTGTCAGAGCTGAGCTAGTGGGGAAAACTGGAGCAAATGCACCTAGTCACAATTCCAGCCACAGGAGGTAGCCAGCTAGACACAGCCCTGCAAACACTCAAATAAATGTACAACCTCTCAGCCTCAGGAGGGCTGTTCCTCTGAGTAAAGTTCATAGCATCACTGGAGTGCAAATCAAAGGGACTACAGACAGCCTTGTCTGACCTTCTGAGTGTCTCGGGCCTTTCTGAGTGATATGTGGAGCCTGGGCACTTCTACTTGGCTGGGACAACCGCAGCAGAAAAGCAGCCAGGTATGATTTAAAGACGTGGAGAAGCCACTGTTCTTTTGGTAGCTTGGTCTCTGGTTAGGCTCTGGCTTTTGTTTTGAAGTTATCTGCTGATCTCAGTGACTGCTGCCCCAGGTTGTTCTTCTGCTTCTCTGTCCCTGCAGAAAGAGCCCTTCCATATCTGGTTTAGCATTTTCCTACTTTCTTCTGCCCACCAAGGTACTTCAGCTCTGTGTTCAGTCCCCCACCCCGATCCAGTCTTCCTCTCTGACAGGTCAAGACAAACAGGCTCTTTCATAGCCTCCATGTTTGGCATGTAACACCAAAAAAATGTTGCAGTTTTGAAGGCAGGCTGTTCATTTAATGATAAATATGCTCTGAATAGTCTGGGCTAGAGCCCAATAAGGAAGTGGGCACTGTCTTACGGGGATTTGTTCTTGCTTCCTAGAGCTGTGAAGTTCTCAGCCAAATTGATGGGGCAGGCCATGGCCAAGCGGGTCAAAGCAACCATCCTGTATGCCACAGAAACAGGGAAGTCCCAGGTCTATGCAAAAACTCTGTGCGAAATCTTCAAGCACGCTTTCGACGCCAAGGTAGCGTACTAACTCCCAGCCCCTGCAAGACTGCGCACACCTCTGATTGGCCCAAGGAAATAAATGACTCTTGGGCAACTTCAACATGTGTGGACCTTCCCAGATGGTGAGGGTCCTCAGCAGTTCCCAGAGTGTGGCCTGGTGGGTCTGCGTTACTCGAGAGAAGCCTGCACATCAACAGCTTTTCCAGCTAATACTCCAGCAGGTGTTGGGGCGTAGAAGCTTGCTTCTCAGGTAGATGGTTGTGAGGGGAGATTTGTCCATGTTCCTTAAATCTCTTTTTTTCATCCTTCTGGCATGAAAATTTCTGCCAGTGATCGGGCATGGAGTCAGCCAGGATCCGTTGGTCCCACCCTTAGGTACCAGGGGCTCAGCAGACTGGCTGGTGATAGATTTCTCCACCTAGGGACTCTTGCTAACATCTCTGTTGCTCCCAGGTGATGTCCATGGACGAGTACGACATAGTCCACCTAGAGCATGAAACCATGGTCCTGGTGGTCACGAGCACCTTTGGCAACGGAGACCCACCTGAGAATGGAGAGGTAGGACAGATCGTAGGGACTGGTAACCACTGCAGGGATGCGGGCAGAGGAGAGGCTGTGGAGAACGGGGAGGAGCGTCTGCTTTGAGCTCAGCTGTTGCATGCTGAAATGGCCTGAAACAGGTCCTGGGTACTGTGTCATACCTGGTGCTGTGCCTGTCTCTGCCTCCAGCTCTCTGAAATGGGGATATCTACTTATTCCCTGGTCAGCTGTGAGACAAATGACTAATTAATGGCTAATTTCACATGGATGTCACCTTAACACAAAAGGTCCCCGACCCTGCGCTGGGGAGCTACAGACCTCCTACAATCCTGTACAACAGGCCATTGCAGGCTGTGGGGAGTCTCAAGCAAAGAGCAGAGCCCCAGGCCAGGCTTTGGTCACTGCTTCGGTTCCTGTAGCTAGACGTGCATACCTCATAGTCTTTGCTATGTTTTTCTCTTTTTCTCTCTCTGTAGAAATTTGGCTGCGCGCTGATGGAAATGAAGAACCCCAACTCCAACCTGGAGGAGAGGAAGTAAGAGTGCCACAAAACCCCTCCCTTCCCACTCAGAACCCCGGAGAGCAGGCAGCCCCAGCAGCCGGGACAGCCGACTTCTCTGTTTCCCTCCTCTCAGAAGGGAAAGTGAAATCTCAACACAGGTTGCAAGTTTGAAAGGTCAGAGGGATGGGACCTGCCTGGAGAACCGGGGGATGGAGCAGGCTGAGATCACAGGGAGGGCAACAGCACCAAGTCAGGCATGCACGTGGACTCTGGCTTATAATATCCTGGTATAATTCCCAGCCACAGATGTCCCATGGGCAAGGCACTTAGGACACACCCATAGGAACCAAGACCCCCTGCTTTTCAGTGCTGCCCCAGCCACCAGCACCCTCACCCCCTGGACACCGTGGTATACACTGTGCTTTCCCAGGGGTCCCTAAATCAAGGTCCTGCAAGGTGGGAATGTGCCTAGCGTCCCTGCAGGCGGTCACACGTGAGATGTAGCATTCACATGAGTTGTTAAAGCTGCTCTGTCACGAGGGGTGGAAGCACAGCTGCCGACCAACAAATACTTTTCAAAAGTGAAGGGTTTATTAAAATACTAAATCTGTGGTTCTTTTCAGTTGCCTTCTGGGGTTTGAGACTGTAGGGCTGGCATTTTAAAGTTTTTCTCTGCAGCTGTAAGAGACAGGCAGCTACAGGAAAAGAGATAAAAGCAGGAATTCACCCACAGTCATTAAGTCCTATAGCTGAGGCTTTCAAGGAGACACAAAAATAGTGAGACTTGCAGGAAGAGGGGAGTTCCCAGCTGTGTGGATGTAGGTGGGCCAAAAGGATGGAGAGGGTTTGAGAAGCAAGTCCACCTTCTTGCATCATGCAAAAATATTTCTAGGAAAAATAAGAGCTATTATAAACTCTGGCTGTGATGTTTGTAACACTGACTGTGGAGCTGGCACCTTGGAGACAGGGTTTGGGGTTTTAGAAAACACCCATTGGTGGAAGATGAGGCTTGAGCTTCTCGGTGCATGTCGCAGAGGCTGGGAAGTGAGGACAGCTAGCAAAGTGTTAACCATTAGGAGCCTCCTCTTCTCTTAGCTATAAAGTACAATATACTCTGCTTAACTGGGACACTGTTTTACTGTGGCGTCTCTCCTGAGTTAGCATAGCGATGCTCACGACTGGTAAAACGCTGCTCCTTAGTCAAGGTGGAATTAGCGCAGGCCAGTGATGGTGCTGTTTAACTGGGCATCAGAGCCCAAACTTTCCCCTTGGGCGGTGGGCAGCAGTGCCCAGGGCAGCCTAGTGTGGCGCTGAACATCAGCGGGCAGGGCAGGCCCTTCAGCCTTTGCACACCAATTTTAGGCAGCAGCCCTCAAGCGGCCTCCCTGCTGTGCAGCCAAGCCATCTGACAGATCCCCGCAGGGCTTGCAAGACAAAAACCCATTAGGTTTCTAATGGCCTCATCCCTTAATGGGGACAGCTGACAAAACGGGACATTCAGGCTGCCCCGAAGGTGTCTGGATGAAGAAGATGCCAGTGGATTTTGTATGTGGCTCTCACCCCAAGGATCTCCTATGTTTTGGGGCTGGCTTGGTGCAAAATACGGTTGAGTGCCGAGGTGCCACCCCCTGCCCCCCCACAAGCCAGGCAGATTTGAGGAGGACAACAGCACCTGAGCTCAGTGTTGGCTGCCCCAGTCATCTGTAAATGTAATTTAAGGGACTGTCAAGAGTTTCTAAGGGTTAGAACAGCCTGTGGCTTGGTTACCTGACAGCAGAAGTGGTCAAAGTGCTGCTACAAGGACAGAGCAAAAGGGTGAGAGGTATTTTATCTGGAGAAAGAAGACAGAAATGCAGCATGGTATCAGATTGCACATACGGAAAAGGTGACTGCAGAGGAGAAGGGAATAAATTATTCCCTGTGCCCCCCCAGGACAGGCCAAGAGGTCATGGATCTGGATGGTGGCAAGAGAGACTGACGTTAGGCATGAAAAAAGCTTTTGCAACGATAAAGGAGGCCTGGAGGAGAATGTCTAGGGAAGAGGGGCAGTGTCAGGCTGACGTCTGTAGGAGAAGGCTGGAGAGAGCAGCTCCTGCTCTGGGCACCCAGCATACTCCCAGCTCCGCATCCTGCTGGGAGATGCTGAGCTGGTGGCTGGGACCACCCTGAGGTGGGGACCAGCAGCCTCTCTAAGCCATGGTCTCTCAGTGAGTTTGCCAGAGCACTGCAGCCGGGGGTCTGTCCACAGCTGAGGTTTTTCATTGTGATCGTGTATTCAGTTCCATGTGCCCAACACTAGACAGTACAGCAAGGGTTTTCCGAGAGTTTTCAAAGACATTCATATGCCACTACATCCCTTGCAGCGATTGAGGGAAAATGGCACTCCAGGCCATCAGAGGTGTGCAAGATAGTTCATGAATTCTGGGTGATCCAAATGATTATTACAGAAATAATGTGGGTAGGTTGCTATACCTGGACCCAGCTGCTGCAGAATAGTGACACGGCAACATTTGGGACTGACCCTGTAAAACATTGTCATGTTTTGGTGAAGGGGAAGAGACCCCTTTTGCACCATGGCTGAAGTTTTGGGCTGTACTTGTGCTCCTTTGAGACCTGGTAGGCACTGGCCTGACAGGACCAGGCTTTCCAGGCTCTTCAGCTGCAACATCAGAGCTGCCCAGGTACCTCCAGCAGGTTACGTGCCTCGTGCCCATCTAAACCTGTGGGCCAGGTTACTCTGCCTTCGCTACGTAACCGCTGGTGAGGACATCGCCCAGGGAGAGCAGAGAAGGATATAGCCCCATCCAGATGGAGTGAAGCAAGAGTCTGAGGAGAAGAAAGAAGGGGAGAAGATCAGGAGAGGTCTGGGAAAGAGCAGGTTGCCAGGAGCAGCTCCAGAGCAGAGGTGGCAAGCATGGGGCTCTACAGTCCTGGCAGTTATTTTGCTTACAGGGTTCAGTCTCCTCTACATAGTGTGTTGAGTGCAGGAGGTCTGCTGTGACTCATCCACACACTACTGCCTCATTGCAGTATATTCTTGCAGTATATTTAGAAACTCTTGTGTAGTGCAATTTCTGAAGATGGTTCAATTCAGAAATACTTCTGCTGTTTTCAGATTTTTTTTCTCCTCTTCCCTTCCCCCTCGTCTTACTTTTTTTTCCCTTCCTATGAATGGAAAAACCTTCAAAAATATATATTCATACATACACCCAACCTTGCATATAGCGAGGGAAGGGCAGTTAAAACCAAAGGTACTGTCAGCTCTGCACAGCTGGTGACAGTGTGATGGGCAACATCTGGCTCTGACTGGAGGACCCCATAGAGCAGACCAGACCCCAGCCAGGGGGAATGTAATGTGCTGGCTGCCTGGGGAGCACGTGGCCTGGTGGGAACCACATCCATACTATCACCACTGTAATATTCAATGCTGTTACTGTTCACAGGAGCTACAAGGTCCGTTTTAACAGTGTCTCCTCTTACTCGGATGCACGAAAATCTTCAAGTGACGGGCCTGACTCCAGGGACAACTTTGAAAGCACGGGGCCCCTGGCTAATGTCAGGTAAACAGGGTGGAGTGGGAGACAATCATTTCTTGCTAGTCCAGGCAGAAAAGATTAAGCCTGCCTTCAGGAGCTGCAGAAGGCACAGAGCTGGTGCTGCTGCTGTACAGAGCCCCTTTCTCCTACTGCAGCTCTTTCCTAAAACATGATGCATTTTTGTAGTGTACAAATCACTCCATACTCTCCCAGGTTGGTGCTGGCCGCGGCAGTGTGGGAGGGGGAGGCAGCAGTGTCCCAAGTGTCACAGTGTCCCTTCAGGCTCTGTAGCCACTGCCGTGTCACCTCTCTGCAGGTTCTCTGTGTTTGGGCTGGGATCGCGTGCCTACCCCCATTTCTGCGCCTTTGCCCGGGCAGTAGACACCCTCCTGGAGGAGCTGGGTGGAGAGAGGATCCTCCGCATGGGAGAAGGGGATGAGCTCTGTGGCCAGGAGGAGTCCTTCAGGACCTGGGCCAAGAAGGTCTTCAAGGTAGCCCTCTTCCTTTGTGCTTCAGGGAGGAGCAGAGGGGAGAAGGACACAGGGCCAGAGCCTGCAAAGCCCTGGTTAGAGCTGGATCTAAACCCAGCCTCTCCTTCCCTACATCAGGAACCTAAGTGTATCGGGGAGTGTGGCCCACAATAAAGAAACACAATTTCTTGAAGTTCCCCAAATTTTGGTGGAGCTGAAGCTCTGATTTGAGCTATACAGTTGCCAGAGGGTGCTGGATTCCTCTCCAGTTGTCTGAGACGCCCAGGGGAGGAGGACATCCCAAGACGTGCCCCTGCTTGCTGTGGTCTAGCACAACCCCCTCGTAGCATCCCTTCAACAAATGTTGGCTGAGGTGGGGTGGGACGAGGGAGTCCTGCCTGGAGGGTTGTGGGGCTGGGCCAGATGTTACGGAAAGCCTGGGTGAAGCAGGGAGTTGCGTGAGAGCCTGGTGCGTGCTGCAGGCAGCGTGCGATGTGTTCTGCGTGGGCGACGACGTGAACATCGAGAAAGCCAACAACTCCCTTATCAGCAATGACCGGAGCTGGAAGAGGAGCAAGTTTCGCCTGACCTACGTGGCCGAGGCCCCTGAGCTCACACAAGGTACAGACGCGGGGTCACCCAGGAGGGCCCTGGACATGGGCCAGGTTGAGGAGGAACCAAGACGCACTTACTGGGGGCAAACAGGCCAAACCTTCTCACCCAAATTCCCCGTCCTCCTCAATTTCTATGTTAAATTCACAGCATTTCAGCCCTGCCTCTCCCCACTATCCCATGGCTGTGCCTGAGGAGCTGTTTGTGGCAGTCTCAAGCCTCTGGCTGCTGGCTGGTTCTTCTCTGTATCTGGGTAACCGAAATGTTAGGATACAATCCGATTTCCCTCCTCCTGACCCCTTTTTCGAAGCAAAGAGCTGGAAATCTGGGAGCTTTCCAAACTCTTTGTCCAAAGCCTGCTCCTCTGAGCGTTGCGTTGTAGTAGCAGGTCCAGCCCACCGACACATGGCCCCACAGCACGGCTCCTGCAGCTGATGATCTGTAGCACTGGCTTAGCTCTTCCTAAATTCAGGTGCTTAGTTACAGCCAGGTGGTACTGGCAGAGAGTGGTGCATGCCTGCACATGAAGGCACATCTCTGCTCCTCGTGTGGGAGCTTTCTGAGGCCTCCTCAGTCAATAACAAAACAGAGCATGCATTTGGTTCCTTCTTGTGGCTTCTGACTCTCTAAGCCCTCTGGGGTCCCTGGAGTTTTGAAGGAGAGGCGGTGGTGGACAATGGCCCTGCAAAAGCCGGAAGCCATCTGCTTTGGCCAGTCTCTGCTGCTTTGGTTCACTGACTCTTCTCCTTCACAGGCCTATACAGCATTCACAAAAAACGAGTCTTTGCAGCCCGGCTTATAACACGCCAGAACCTGCAGAGTCCAAAATCCAGGTAGGAGGTGTAGGTGTCCCGAGGCCTGTGGGAGGTGAACGCACTCATTTTGCACCCAAACATATTTGCACACAAAGTGTCGCATATATCTCTTGAACCCTAAATGTCCCATGGATACCATCTTTGTGCAAGTCTGGCCTAAATTATAATGTAGATTGAAAGCTATGCTAACCCAGTGAAGTGTTTCCTAGCTTCTAATACAACAGAAACTCTACCACTACATAAATTAGCCTCTTGCCTATAAAGACGAGGAAAAGATGGGTTGCTGTACTTATAGAGTGGCAGCATGTATTTAAAGAAAGGATAAAATTGCTGAAACAAGAGGCTAAATGATCTTCCCTTTTTTAACATTCCCTGACTGTGAGTCAGCAGCTGGGAAGGGAGAGGGTGTTGCAGTGTGAGCGTCGCACCTGGCCCTTTGTAGCTCGTGATGGTGATTTCGGTGATGTGCCAGTGGGGCATGAGCACCAGGGCTTAGACCTACCACCATCGCCCGGCACACCCAGTGGCTCTCAAAGTTGTAGAGGACAGAGCTCAGCGACTCCCTGAAAGACTCCTCAAAAACATGTCCTGATTTTTGTCCTTTCCCTGTAGTCGTTCAACGATTTTTGTGCGACTTCACACCAACGGACACCAGGAACTGCAGTACCTGCCAGGGGACCACTTAGGTGTGTTTCCAGGAAACCATGAAGACTTGGTCAATGCCTTGATCGACAAGCTAGAAGACGCCCCTCCAGCCAACCAGCTAGTGAAGGTGGAGCTCCTGGAGGAGAGGAACACAGCTCTAGGTAACCAGGGCCAGCACAGAGATGCAGCCTTGGCATAGACGGAGTCTCTCCTCCTCACCCATCCTCCCACAGTGGTTGCTGTAGCTTCTCAGAGATATAGATGACCCTGAAAGGAACCATTTCCCATCTCACTAGTGCATTTGCCTGGATTGGGAGCACCTCCTTTCGCCTTCTTCTGCCCACATCCATTGCTAATCTGCCCTCAGAACATAGGCCAAAGGTTTGAAGGGTGAGCAGGGGTCTGGGGAAGATATTTCCTAGATTTTCAGACAGACTAAAGGCATTTACATTCTCATGGGACAAGCAAACTCTAGGGCTGGAAAGAAGAGTTAAGGGATCTCAATAGACCATCCCAATATTATATTTTGAGAATGGGTTTGATGCCCTGCTGCCATGCATGTTGCAACAGAAGATGGAAAATGGCATTAAGTCAGAGTGACCGAGGCTGAAGGTGACTCTGTATTTCTGCAGTTTGTACGGTGCCTCGCTTTTAGCATGAGGATATCTCATTGACTCTTCTTTCTAACTCTTCATCATTCACTGTCTCAGAGCGGAGCAGGGTGAATGAAAGCAAGGATTTGTCCACTTTGGCTCTTACGCTCAGCTGATCCCATGGTTGTGCTGGATTCCCTCCTGGCAGGTGTCATCAGTAACTGGACAGATGAGAACCGCGTCCCACCTTGCACCATCTTCCAGGCATTTAAGTACTATTTGGACATCACCACCCCTCCCACCCCCCTGCTGCTGCAGCAGTTTGCTTTACTGGCAACCAGTGACAAGGAGAAGAAATGTCTTCAGGTCCTTAGCAAGGTAAAGCCTCAAATCCCATTAGCGGGGACTCATAGGGGCTGTTGTGCTGACTTTATGGAGTAAGCAGTCAGATTTCCTCCACTTTTACATGTGGGTGTCCATGGACCCTCATGGGACGAATGTGACCAGGAAGGACAGCGTATACAAGAGTCACTGTCAATAATTTTCATTCTCAGAGGTGAGAGCAGGTTTCCTTAAAGGTGGCCCTTTATGAGAATAGAAATGGTTCATGACATGCCCCAGGCTACAGTCCTTCCTCTTCAGCATCATCTTCCACGTGGCTCCTTCCCCCAGGACTGTTTGCTCTATTTAGTAGCCCAGTCCTTCAGCCCCAGATAAAATAACTTCTGGGTGTAGCCTCAACTCCCCAACACAAATGAAGACTTTGAATCCAAGTGGCCTGAAAACAGGTAGGTGATCTGTAGCACAGATGGGTGCCAAAGCCAGATCCCTTACCGCTAAATGCTGTGCTTGAACCCCAGGTTTCTCAAGACCCTGGGGAAAGGCAGGGATTTTTTATTCCGTGACATATACGTGTGATTCTGCTGAGACCTTGGACAGCAGAGCTCCTCCTGCCTGCCTTCGCTTTCACCCGCCTCTGCCCTGCCACAGGCCTGGTGGGAAACTGGTTGAGACACCAGGTTTGGAGGAAGGAGATGCTGTAGCTCTCACCTCCCTTCCTTCCCCGGCTGCAGGGTTTACAGGAGTATGAGGAATGGAAATGGTCCAAGAATCCCACCATCGTGGAGGTGCTGGAGGAATTCCCCTCTGTGCAGATGCCCTCTACGCTCCTGCTCACGCAGCTTCCCCTGCTCCAGCCGCGCTACTACTCCATCAGCTCCTCCCCAGAGATGTACCCAGGCGAGGTCCACCTCACCGTGGCAGTGGTCTCCTACCGCACTAGAGGTACCATGGAGGGGAGCTCATGCAGGGGTCTGTGGAGACAGGCTAGGTGTGGGGACCAGGGAGAAGAATGTTAACATATGGGAAACAGCAGCATGTCTTTGGCAGACAGATGTTATTTTAAAGCCTTCCTACCCGTTGCAGTGACCAGATTCCTTTAGACTATGACATTTTTGTCCCACATTATGGAGAACAGCTACACATCTAAGGGTAGTGTATCGCAGAGACATCGGAGCTGGCTCGAGTGCCAGCAGCAAACTAACCACGGTGTCTCTGAGCTCCACATGGAATCATTTCCTTGCCCATGCTGAAGTCCACACTGCCACCGCTAGCCAGATTTCAATACCTGCACAAGCACTAATAAGTCCCAGCTGCCCTGCTCACTATGTAGAGCGACAAAACCCATTTTGTCCCCACAGCATGTTGGACACCGGGAGAGATGCTGGCTGTCCATTGGGGGGTTGTCATGGCAGTGAGGCGTGCAGCCGCATGTAGGAATCTGGCTGGGGAGGATGCTGGCTTTGCACACCCCATGGTGGAGTGCGACTCTTTGAGATCCAGCCCTCAGCAGGGAGATCCTGGAGACCTTGTGTCTGGAAGCCCCGCAGCAGAGTGCTGCTTCAGCCAAAAAGGACTGAGGAAAAGATGGGTGCTTCCTAAGTGTGGTGGTGGTGGCCCAGGGTTGGCTCCAGGGTGAGTTGGGGTAGCTCCACAGAGCGTTCCCAACGCCCAGCTTCTACCAAGTCCGTGGGGGATGGATGTGGAGATACTAAAGGGCACTGGGATTTAGTGAGGTGTGCAGATGGGGATGTAGCAGGAAGGGTTTCAGAAAGGAAAGCAATTGGAGTAGTCTGCTGGGGTGCTGAGTACAGACTTTCTTCTCTCACCTCCTAGATGGTGAAGGACCAATCCACCATGGAGTCTGCTCCTCTTGGCTCAATCGGATACAGACTGATGAAGTAGTGCCCTGTTTTGTAAGAGGGTGAGTGGTCCACGAGGGGTCAGAAGGATGTGACAAGTCCCCTTGCAGGATGAGCTCTCTGGGCCCTGCGTCCTCCTCTGTAAAGCACCATGGGCGTGGAGAAAATAGGGCTGGCTTTGTGCTCGAATGGGTTCCTCCAGGACGTAGCTCTTCTGCACCAAAATGTCGCTTTCTGAAAATTCACTTCATTTTTTACCCTGCCCTCTCTGGGCTACCGTTCAGCTTGCCTTGGCCCCACATAGGCAGAGGGGAGGGAGGGAGCATCGTACTTGGGTTTAACTGGTGCCTTCCATTTGTGCAGAGCGCCTGGTTTCCACCTGCCCCAGGATCCCAAGGTGCCCTGCATCCTGATTGGCCCTGGCACAGGAATCGCCCCTTTCCGGAGTTTCTGGCAGCAGCGGCTTTTTGAAATGCAGCACAAAGGTGGGTCCTTCTCCTTGCTGGCTTTCTCCTCCCTTTCTCCCCGGGCCAGGGAAGGCTCCCACCAGCCTGGCGGCTAGACAGTCTTGTGCAGGGTGCTCGGTCTGCCAGCAGGTCCAAAGAGGGGTCTGAGAGGCAGCTTGGGGAACAAGGGAACCAGAGGTCCCCCCCATGCTGATTGCATCTCCTGTCTCTCCCCCAGGCTTGAAGCCTTGTCCTATGGTCCTGGTATTTGGCTGCCGGCAATCCAGGATCGACCACATTTACAAAGAGGAGACGCTTTTTGCCAAAACCCAAGGTGTCTTCAGAGAGTTGTACACAGCCTACTCCCGGGAGCCGGACAAACCAAAGGTGAGTTGTGGCCACTGCTCCAGCCCCAATGCACAGCCCCAAGTGGCTGCGGCCAGCTGGTATAGTGTGCCCAGCACAGCAGGCCATGGCAAGCCTGAGCGTGCATGCAGAATCATCTCCTTCCCACTGCAACTCCACGCCAAGGGCTCGTCCCCATCCCTGCACCAGCAGGGCTGCATGCCCCCATCACTCCCTCTTCAATCTGAAGCCATCCTCACCAGGCAAAAGCAGATGAGGAGGGGGAAAGGTGCAAGCGAGGAGAGATGTCCCCCAGGAGGATGGCCCAAAGCCAGTGCAAACATCTGGTCCAAATTCTCGCTGCCACCTGAGCAAGCCCAGCAGTGAGATATGAAGATGTGGAAATGCAACAGCCAAGTGAAGCTTTGCCACTTTCCTCATCTCTTTTCTGTCTGCCAAGGAAGAGCAGAAATCAAACCCTGCCCAGCGCAAGCTCTGAAGAAGTGTGCAGCTTTTTCCCAAGCTGAGGGCTACACGTAGCCCTGCAGCTCCGTCCCAGCTTGCCTCTAAATTTTCCTGCTGGTAGCAGAAATGCATACTGTAGACCTGATTATTTTTTCCAGCAGTACTACCTGCCTGCATCCTGGTGTTTTTAGGGGGTTTCACTGAGCAGATGCAGGCCCTCAGGGTGGCCCTCAGGACCAGGCCTCCGTCTCCAAGCAGAGGCCTATGGGTGGTGGAAAAGTGTCCCCTTGGGCACCCCGGCCTCCTCCCCACAACGCTCAGGCTGTCTTCAGGCTTTGCACAAAGCATCCAGGAGATGCAGGGCAGGTTTTTAGGTGCATGTTGCAGAACAGTGTTGGGTGCTGCAAGGTTCGGGCATGCCCCCCGCAAGAGGTGGTCGCATTGTGTTGCTGCGTGGGAGGCGGCTGGTGCATGCAGTCGGACGGAGCATGCAAGGAGATGGGGCTGAGAAGATGTAGTTAACATCAGCTTCCGTCTCCTCCCCCAGAAATACGTGCAGGACGTGTTACAGGAGCAGCTGGCCCAAACCGTGTACAAAGCACTGAAGGAGCAGGGAGGCCACATCTATGTGTGCGGGGATGTCACTATGGCTGGGGACGTCCTCAAGACCGTTCAGCGCATTGTGAGGCAGCAGGGCCAGCTGTCAGTGGAGGAGGCAGGTGCTTTCATTAGCAAGCTGCGGGTGAGTAGCGTCTCCTTCGTGCACCGCGAGACACCGCGAGAGCTCCTGCCAAGGGCGCTGCACCTGGTGTCTCTTCCTGCAGACCAGGGAGCGCCGAGGATACGGGCGATGAGGGGGGCTGCAGCGCCCACCCACACTGCTTGCAGCTGGGCAAGGTCACGAGTGTGGTTCTCTACCAGCTTTGGGTCCGCGGTGGAAGTAGCTTCACTTACAGGGCTCTGCTCCAGGCTGTAGCCCCCTCGGCATGTGCTGGACTGTGGCCACATGCCTGTGCTGTGCCTGTCCAGTGCTGAGTGCTAAATACAAGCTTCTTTTGGCGTCCTTGGTAGGGCAGATGTCTCTGGAGCACAGAGCAGTGCCAACAGCTGGACAGGACTTATTTGCCTCACTAAGCCCCCACTGTCCCTCCATCACTGCAGCAAGTTAATGGGACAGTTTAAGGCCCCCCCCCCAAAATCTCCTTTGTGCGTGTGGCTGTTGGCAAACACGGAGCTGCAGGTGTTGCAGCTGAAGCAGAAGTAACCTCAGTTTGGGATACCAGCCTGAGGACGGATGCTCGGGGCTACGCAGCCATCCCCCTTCTAAACCATGTTCCCCCATGGTCTCAGGAGCATAGGGAGCCCAGAGCCAGCTTTTTAGCTGGTTTGCAAGTGAAAGTCCTAATATGTGGGACGTCATGGAGCTGCTTGTCCCCTGAAGGCAGGCGGTCCTCGGACTACCTGCCGTTGAGGAGGTCGGCTGAGCAGCTCTGCCACTGCCCTGCAGTGTGACCTTGGGAAGGTCATTTCATCGCCCTGCTTGTTTTGCCCTGCCTTGTCTGTCTTCCCCATCAGCTCTTGCAACAGGTCCCCTAACATTTGGTGGGTATTTGGCAGTTGCTCACAGTGCTGGAGCTTTCCGCTGCTGCAGCAAGACCAACTGTTTGTAAATACTTTTTTTTTTCTCACTGTCCCTCTGCCGTCCTCTGTTTCAGGATGACAGCCGGTACCACGAGGATATTTTTGGAGTCACCCTGCGTACGTATGAAGTGACTAACCGCCTTAGATCCGAGTCTATTGCATTCATTGAGGAGAGCAAAAAAGATACGGATGAGTGAGTTGACATGTTTATTTTAACCCAGGTTACTGTCTCCCAGGCGTGTGGGCTGTGGTATGGGGAAGGAAGCTTTAACTTTTTCACATGTGCGGCACTTAGAGCAGAGGCTGAAAAAGGCATTTGATTTTTGCGCTGGAAGCAGATGCCTGCATGGCAGTCTCTGTAATAGCTCTCATCTCGCTAGGGCAAATCCCCCCTGGGCGTTCCCAGGTTATCGCACCCATCCTACCAGCAGCCTCCATGTGCTCCCCGGACAGCAAGCGGGTGGGTGCATGGGCTGCAAGGCTTGCAGGACCCGCGGTCCCTGCCTCCCAGGGCAGTCGGTGGCTGATACCCATGGCAGGGAGGTCTCCATGCTGCCCCCACGCTGACAGTTGCATGCCCAGTTTGGAAAGATCGGAGACTTTTCTTTCTTTCCACTCTTGTAAAAACAATCAAAAGAAGTAAACATCCTGGAATACGTCAGCAGGTTTCGCCCCCTTGGTTTTGCGTTGGGGTGTTGCGCTGTGAGCAGCCTGGGGTGCAATCCCTTCCCTGCGCTCCCAGCTGTGGCATGTAGTGCCCGGGTTTCCCAGACCCACTGTGGTTTGATAGGAACCATGCAGCGCACGCAGCAGCATTTGCATTGTGTAAAGAGGGCCTCAGTTTCCCATCTCCAGGGATAAGGGTTACTTGCCTGCCCACCTCCCCCACATGCAAAGAGCTCCATACATTAATGCCTATAAAGTGGTCCCTTGAACAGGACCTGTGGGAAGAAGCGGGTGGTGATTACTGCCTTTAATTGCTGGGTCATTCTGCCAGAGGGTTGCACGGGAGAGTGCGATAGTCTGTTTTCTGAAAGAACAGCTTAAGATCTCATCCTGCCTCCTTGCAGCAGAGGGCAAAACTCCCGCATGGCTTTGCTCTGCATCAGCCAAACGCTTAATCCTATTGAGCCCTGGTACCCGGCAGCTAGACTTACTCCTTGCACTAGAAAGAGCCGGATCAGTAAAGGGGCTCCCACGCTCCTCGCTGCTCCCTCTAAGGCTGCCCTTTCTCCCCTTTCCCTTGCAGGGTTTTCTGCTCCTAACCGGACCCTTTGGCCCAGAGGGGATGCCAAACCAGTCCTGCTGCCCCCTCCAGCCGGAGGGCACTGGGTTTTGTATTGCACGGACACGGCGGCTCCTTTCCCGTGGGGAACTGCCCATGGAAAGCGCTCTGTCTCTCGTCCTGTTGTTGTGTCCTGATGATGATGATGATTTTTATTTCCTTTTCGTCCTCTTTCTCTTGCTCTCTCTTGTCCTGTGGCGGTTTCTTTTCATCCCTATTTCCCTTCCCCAGATTTCCCCACTGAAGTACGATGGCTTTATAATCCACAGTGGCTCTTAACAAAACTTTACATTTCTCCTTCTCCCCACGAGGGCATTTTGCAGCTGCATGAAACCACCACGCTCGTGATCATCCACAGTTTTGGGGTTTTGGGGGAGAGCAGAGGTGGAGGGGGCTGGGTGAGATGGGGGGTGCACAGACTGGCTAGTTCCTGTTGCTCGACCACAACTGGGGGTTTTTCCCCCACACCCCCAGGGCCCCTCTTCCCCCGGCTCAGGACTTGGCTGAATCCTTGCATGGTCTTTGCTTTCCTTTGGACTTATACAGGCCAGGGCACGTACCCGAGGCCGGAGGTAGAGGATGTGCCGTGCTCTCATGCCCATGGACTTTGTTCATCCCCAGGCAGCCTGGGTGCAGAAGTGTTTGCTTCGATCCGAAGGCTGGGCCGTCCCTGATTCACTGATTAACGCGTAACGATTTCACCTAAATGGGCTCCGTGCTGTGTTTGCCTCCTTCTCCCTTCCTTGTTCCCCATGAGTCTCTCCCTCTGCCGGTGCCTGCTCCTTTTGCTGCCCTGCTCCTGCTGGTGTGAAAGTCCTCCCACGAGGAGCAAGCCCTGAACGTGCAGGCTGTGTGTGCAGGCAGAGACTGACGGCAATGACTGCCTGTGCCTCGGGCCGCTCAGCCAGGCTGTCCTCCAAAAGGCTTTACAGGAGACATGCGATCTGCAGCGCAGATGGGGAACAGGTTAGCCATGATGCTGGCGGGAGAGATTCGGGAATCGGCTGCATCCTAGAGCTTCGCACGCTGTGAACGCATGAACCCGTGTCCCGGAGAGCCTGGAAAGCCCCAAGGCTGAGAGAGGAGTGGGTCCGACCCCAGCTGCAAGAGGCACCTCCAGCTAGCGAAGGCCCTTGGGAAGCAGCGGTGGTTGCTGCTGAGGCTCGTTGCATCCCTCACGCATGCCAGGGGCTGTTGAAAGGTCAGAGAGCATCAGCTCCACCTTAGTGCTGTCTCATGAGTGGTTCTGGGCCAGCAGACCCCAATCCCATGGACAGCTTTAGGAAGAGAAACTGCCTGCGCGGAGTGACCTGCTTGGCAAAAGAAATACTGGCGGCCTTTTGGTGGCAAGCCAGTCCCCTGCGTAGGCTCTGCGCCACCCGTGAGCAGCACGAGCTGTCTCTGCCCGGACGCCTTGCGCGACAAGGGAGGTGAGATCGGATGCAAAGACGCTGTGTGACGCTGTGTGACTCTGGGCTCTGACACACTCACACCTCAGCCCTGCTGCAAAAATCTGGCCCCAAAAGCAGTCCTTTTAACACGATCATGGGGAGATATCAGTCCCTTTTCGAGAGAAAAGCTGTCAGCAAGGTAAAGCATGCGTGACCTTGTGTGCCCTTCCTCCGTCTGCTCCCTCCCTCACCCTGTTCCTCCCCAGAAGGTTCTTCCTCCCTCATTTTTAGGGTGAGGGCAGCCCCGGCCTGCAGAGCGTGGCTGCAGCTCTCGCTGGAGGCAGGGTATGGGGCTGGCATTTTGAGCTAGTATGTGCTTTTCCCTTCCTCCTGCTTTTTTTTGCACTCGTGCTTGTATGGAGCAGGGCACCTGCACTGGCGCTGGCAGAGGGTTTGTCCAGGAGCTGTAATGGTGAGTTTTGCTTTCAGAGGTTTAAGATTAGTTGGCCCAAGCCAAAGACTGAACAACCAGAGCTGCATGAGGTTTGTTGCTCTCCCAGCCTGTGGTGCAACCCACACTGGCTTCCCTGGCCTCAGGCCATGCGGTATCCTACCCTCAGCTGGGGCCTCCTACCCCTTCCTGCTGCTTGGCTAGCCGCATCTTCCATCCACTATAAACGCCTTCTGCAACCTCAACTCCCTGAATGCATGAAGCAGCTCTAGCCTGAAAACTTGGGAGCAAAAGACCTCCAGACATGGGGGGATTTGAGATCCAGGTCTCAGTTTTGTTGGTCCCAGCAGAACATCTAGCATGGAGTGAAATGCGAATGAATGCTGCCACGATGTGGCCGCAGCTGAGCTCGCTGTGCTGGAAGGGAGCCAGAGCAGGGCTTCCAGCCAGGTGCAAGTAAGGCTCAGTTTGTGACACTGCCTGGGGACTTCATCATGTGGAGTCGCAAGCGGGACAGGAAAAAGGGCAGCCCCCGGTCCACCTCTGGGGGTTGTGCCCTAATCCCAGAGCAGTCGGTGGGATGGGAGAGCTGGGTCTCTTGGATACTGTGACTTGTGAATTTGGACAGAGATCCCGCCTGTGGGTGCCAAATCCTTGTCCCTACACCTGTACACGGAGAGCAAGCTTGTCCCTAGCTCCAAGCCCTGTGGCTGACTCTGCAGAGTTAAAGAGCAAACCCAGACCTCATCTGCCTCCTTTTGGGAAGCTTGATTCTCGCTTTAGACTTTGTGTTCTGATCCTCCCTTTGCTAGAAGTATTGATGCAACCAGCAAAGGAGGTAGTTCCCAAAGAAATGCCCTTGTCTTCATCTTCTTTCCAGCTTATTCTCTGTTGCTGGCAATTAGCTTTCTTCCTGTTCTGCTTTCCGCCCCTCTTGCTATAACATCTCCCAGCTGGAAGTAACGTTGCTGCTGCAGGCTGTGTCTGCCATGAGATCGGCTTGCTCTTCCTGCCCCCAAAGCCTGCCATATTTTCCCTTTCGTCTCATACGCCAGTGAAAACACCTGGGAAGCGCAGCGGCGAAGGGAACGCAGTGGTGTATTCAGCCTGCCCTGTTGCCTTCGGTGGGATTTCCAAAGTGGGGCAAGGAGCCAGACCATCTCAAGTTCAACAGCCTTCGAGTAGATGAGTCCCTCAGAGCCCTTCAGAAGGGAAATGCTTTTTTAAGGCCAGTCTGCCTGTTTGTCTGTCCCAGGAGAAGAAAAGCCCTCCCTGCCGTGAAGGTCCATGAAGTTTATGTCCCTTCAGGGCTCTGCGCTGCCCTCTCTTTCCCTGGTCTGAGTAGGACCATTCGCTCCTTGCAAGCCACACAACTGGGAAATTTGGTTTGTTGTTTTTTTGTTGAGTCAGTCCCAGACGTCTCAGCTTCTCCTTCATCCCTCTTACCTGCAGGGGCTTGACACTCCCCTCGAGCTTAATTTTCTCCCTCAGCAAAAGGAAAAATAAACTTGTGAATCTGCTTTATCATTCCACAAATGCGGCTCTTTCACCAGTTGTCTAGACTCTCTTCATCTCAGTGTGACGTGTCTGATGCGTGGGCGTAGACACAGTATCTCCAGCATGCATAAACGGCAGAGAGTGTGGTGGGGTCTCCTGCAGTTCGGCGTGATGAGCTGCCTGAGGATGTCACACTTGGAGGTGTTGTACCTCTCGAGCTCTCGGCTCACGAATCCGTCACCCCGGAGTACCTCCTGCCCTTCAAGCTCCTGCACAACCCGACGTGGCTTCTGTGGCCAGGGTCTACTAGACTTGATGGACTCCCAGCCTCATTAACTGTGCAATTCCTCTCTTTGTGGATGTCCAGCACCACTGTCTATTTTGCAGCAGCTCATCTCCTTTTCAGTTCCCAAGGTTTAAACATAAGGAAGCTCTTCTCCAAACACAGGAGTTGATGTTCAAGACATTATCAAAAGATTCTAGAATTTTTTCCCAGGATTTTAATTTCTAAGTTTTTCAAATGTCCACAGAAAGTTATGTGTGAACTGAAAACTCATGGGAAATGGCTCTGTGTTTTCCCAACCCATGCTGTTCACGAGCAGGGAAAAATAGGTTGTTGATTCAGCGCAAGGGTATCAACTGCCTGTGCTGATGACTTCAACGATTTCATCTCCCCAGAACGGCTGCTTAGGCATTTGCTCTTCTTTCTATTGCTATTTATGAGATACCCAACAGACAGTGGGAAAATAATGAGTCTTCTAGCATCAGGAATAGACTTGCAAAGATGCAAAACCTCTGCTGTCGTTGCTGGGTAGGCCTGAACTCATTGCACTAGTGAAACTGAGCCAGTTGCATCCATACTGGCTGAAGAAATTGGGGTTGAGTTTGAGCTGTCCGTGCTCCTTGTCCCACGTCCTGTGCCTACGAGTCCCCACTGGCTAGCAGGTGGGCTCAGTCCACAGTCAGAGCAGCATGAGCCAATGTGTCCATGCATGACTGGGAAACTTGCACTTGTGTCCTGAGCTAATGTGATTGTGTCTATGCAGAAGAGGAGATGGGAAGAGAATGGAGCTGCATGAACCTCTATGTCCAGTCCAACTGTGATTGCTCCATTTGTTGCTTTATTGTTACTATACGATGCCTCTTACCCCATCCCAAGCTGTAATCCAGGCTCCCTCCACCACCTCCCTCCAGAGATCCCTCCTTTCTCCTCCTTCACCCTGTCTGCCCAGCCAAAAGGCACAGCAAGCTGCTCAGCAAAGGTGGGTCCTGGGGATGGCAATGGACTTACAGTGCCTTGTGCTGGGAAGAGACTACTGCGCTGGAGTTGCTCTCCCATTCCCGCTATCTCCAGAGATGCTCCTGGGGGTTGAGGGCAACAGATGATTTCATTTTACAAGTGAAATTCTTGGTGGGCAAGTTCCCCCGGAATAACTAAGAGCAAACTTTTCCCCCTACTCAGCTGTGCTGTGCAATTATCTGCCACTGGCAGGGCTTTCTCGGGGGTAGGAAGGATTTGCGGGGTTAGAGTCTTTTTGGGCGCAAACTGGACACCACCTGCTGCGAGCACCACTGGTCTGTGAAAACCTATCACGTACTGGAGGCCACGTTTTTAGTAAAGTGTTGGGGGGAAAGTGCATGTTTGTGCTGCAGCCTCATGGACTTGCGCCAGGCCCAAGCCAAAGCTGCTGCATACCTTAGTACCACTGAAGCCATTAGAGTCATCTAATTTATACCTATGGAGGAGCTGCAGAGAGTTCCCAGTGTTTTTGGAAGGAGAATTTTATGTTCAAAACTAAATTTTGCTCCTGCTTTCACTGGGGACCAGTTCTTGGATTCAGAATTGCTCTGATAACTTTGCAATTGCTTTGATAGTTCCAGAGGGGGGCACAGTCCCTTTACAGAACAGATGGAGATACACTTTCAAGACCATTCAACTTTGCTGTAACTCTATCTTTGTTACGGCAGTTTCTCTGCTATAACAGGAGGAACGAAACGTGGCCAGTGCTGAACACTCCTGAAAACTGTGTTCCCGTGCTCAGACAAAATTAGTGTAGAGGCCAAGTCCTCCCAGACTCAAGATGCCTTCCATATCTGTTGGCTTCAGTGGCACTGGGGACGTTCAGCAGCTTGCAGGATCAGGCTTTCATAGCAGCAACAGCAGCAGCAATTTCACGATGACAGTATCTTTGCGCGTGTCAATCAGCACTTGCACTTGCCTGCAATGCATGACTCTCTAGTAATCCATTTGAAATCTACCCTCAGCAGGGAGAGCTGAGCTCTAGCTTCTTCCATATGGCCATGTGTATTTAACAGGAATTCAGGGGAGCTGGAGAAAGCTAATGAGATTGCTGCTTTAAAGCACTTGGTTCCAGAACAGACCTTACTAGACATCGAAATCTGCTTGATTTTAGTATGGGTACGAGGGCAACTCATGAAATAACTAAGCGTTGTTACGCAGACATATCTTTTTCCAGCTGTGCCAGGAATAAAGCAGACTAGAAACTCTTGGCTTCCACCCCTACAGATGTTGCCAATGAAGGCTATGATGGAAATCTGAGCCATTGAAATCACAGGGAAAAAAAAAATCACAGAATGTGAGTTCATAGCTGAGCAGCCGTAGCTTGTTTTCTGATGAGAGCACTGCATTGCAATGAGCTGACTACAAGGGCTGCTGTTTTCCTGCCTACTCATTCATATACTTACCTGACCAGATATCAGGGAGGGAGGAAATGCTTCAAAAGCAAGAAAATCAGATGTGCGAGCCTTATCCTGAGAATCCCTTGCTTAATGGGAGCCTACAGGCCAAGGCTTTGCAGCTACTCATCATTACCATGGCAGGGAAGTGGGCAAGACACCCAGGATTTCTCTTGTATCCAGTGGCCAAAGCTGGGAGAAGAAGTCTTTCTGGGGCTGTGGGACAGCAGGAGTGCATCACACCCAGACTACGGAGCTGGGCTGGGGTAGACTTCCACATGGCCTGATTGCAGTATTTGCACACAGCTTTCTGTAGGTCTGGTTCAGAAACCTCTCTGCTACTGAATAAGACTGGACAAGTATTTTTAATGCTTAAAAAATTTGAAGATTTTAAATACTGAAAAAGTCAATCTTTTTGGCATCTTTTTGTTGCTATGTTTTTATGCATTGTTGGTTTTGGGCAGGGAAAGCAAAAAAAAATTTTTTGCAAACACTTTGAGGAGAAATAAAAATTAGTTTAAAAATCACCATTTTCTTTGAGGGGGGAATCTCACTTGTTTAAAAGAAGAAAAAAATGGGGGACAAAAAGCTACCCTTTGTGAATTGTCTTTTATCGTGAAAGTCTTTTAAAGTCACGTAGCCCCCGCGTTTCTTTTAAATTCAATATCTTGAATTTCCATTCTGAAAACCTGCATATGCTTTCAGATTTATTAATTAAATTCAGATTAATCACTTTGTCTGAGAAAGAGCCACAGGTTAAAATATGCAAAACATCCAGATTGGGAACACTTTATTGAATCACTTCAATAACTGACTTCTCCCTCCTCCAAAATAATGGGGAAATGTGTGAAAATATCACATTCTTTTGGCTGAAAGTGAATATTTTGTCCCCACAGTAATTGCCAATACAATTTTTAAAATGTTGCAAGGGCAAAAAAACTGCCTTCATACGTATACAGCTCCAACCACAGGTATTAGAGCTACTCACTTCCAAACCTGTTTTTTTTCATTTTTCTCTCTGTGTGATTGTGATGTGGAATCATGTCTTAACAAAATATGCTTTACAGTACTCAGCAGGCTGTCTGGAAACAGAAGATGATGTTTCAGAAATCTCCCGGTGCCCAGCATTGAAGTGATGGCTTTATAGCCAATGAAATTCAATGCCAAATTCTGCTTTGCTAGAAACCTACAAAATAGCCAGTCGTCCAGAATTCCCAAGGCTCAATGCGCTCCGCTGTCCTGAGATGCCTTCAGAAACCCTGGGCTCGGTATGCTAAAAAGAGCTTGAGAACAGCAGTGGTTAGGTTGCCTGCTCCGTTGCAATATCCAGAGCTCTTCTAGGCTTTGCACGATTCCCCAGGTAGCAGGTGAGCAGAGTGAGCAGAGCCCTGACTGTCAGCCAGGCCTCATTGCTTTTGAGATTGCATGTAGTTAGAAACATGAGTTCTGCCAGCTGCCCCGGGAATTTGATATTCAGTGCCAATTAATTTTTGTAATAGGAACAGGGATTTATTCCCTTAGAGGTACCTGTGAAATGTCTAAGCCTCAAAGGTTTGGTTTTTGTTTGTTTTCTGGTGGCCTTTTTCCTGAAGAGCAGTGGCGCAGAGATAAGAAAGGGGACCGCTCTGTGAAGGGTGGCAGCTTTGGGGCAAGCAACTCCCAAACTTTCCACTGTAGAGGTTTCCTAAATGCTCAGATGTGGGTAAATTCTGCTCTGCTAGGTGGGTCTCTCTCTACTCTCTGGTTCTCCTGCTCCTTCCTCCCTCCCCTCAGCACCTCCTCATGTCACTGTGCCTTCATTTGGTTTATAAAATGATGCCATGATTTCAGTCTGGCACATTGACTTTACTCCCATTTTGCATCCCGTAAGACATATATATTTGGAGGGGGGGTAGTTTATTTTGTAACTTTTATTGTGATTCTAAAGTAGGTTTCTTGTGAGGAGTGAAGGGGTGGGGACAGAGGGAGCAGGGACGAGCAGGAGTTGTATTTGATCATACCAGTGCTTTAAGCGGTCAGGAACATGGTTTTCCCCTACCTCTGAGCTCTCAATGCTGCTAAAATCTCTGCCATTCGTACAATGTACTCCAGCCCCTCTCTCGGACTGACGCCAGCTCTGTTTGCAAGATATCCACATTGTTCTAAAGCATGCACCTCTTTCTGTATAGTTCCAATCTTCTGGTTTTATGGAATAAAATACTTATGCCTGTTTGCATTACAGTCAAAATTAAAAAGTGAACTAAAATCTAGCGGGCTTCGTTCTTCTCTGATCTCTGGGTTCTTAATGCTCAACAGCCTCTCCTGACATCTTGGCCTTGCTCTGTTTGGCCACCGGCGCTGTAATAAGTAAATAAAAAGCAGGACGGTGGCGTCGGCTGGCGAGATCTGCAGATCTGCGAGACAGAAACACGTTCTTGTAAGGCTGTTTGACTTCACAGCATTACGTGTCTTGGGTCATTTGCGCCACGTCCGTTGGAAAGACACCACAGCTGATCAGGCAGAGCTGCTTGCACGCCACGTGCAGGGCAGCTTTCTGTGCTGCAGCCGCAGAGACGAAAGAGGTTGTCCCGGACGGGACCGGAGACACCCGAGCCGTTTGGCCAGCAAGAGCAATAGCTGTCGGTGGCCGGGGGAGTGAGCCGGGACCCTGGGAAGGGCTTTCAACACGGGAACGTGGGAACATCGGGCAGAAGACCTGACCTCCAGGGACATGTGGCAGCGGTGTGACCGCAGGGGTCACCTCAGACATGGCAGCGGTGTCACCTCAGGGGTGACCTCATATGTGGCAGAGCTGTGACCGCAGGGGCCACCTCCAACGTGGCAGGGATGTCACCTCAGGAGTCACCTCCGACGTGGCAGCGGTGTGACCGCAGGGGTCACCTCAGACATGGCAGCGGTGTCACCTCAGGGGTGACCTCATATGTGGCAGAGCTGTGACCGCAGGGGCCACCTCCAACGTGGCAGGGATGTCACCTCAGGAGTCACCTCCGACGTGGCAGCGGTGTGACCGCAGGGGTCACCTCAGACATGGCAGCGGTGTCACCTCAGGGGTGACCTCATATGTGGCAGAGCTGTGACCGCAGGGGCCACCTCCAACGTGGCAGGGATGTCACCTCAGGAGTCACCTCCGACGTGGCAGCGGTGTGACCGCAGGGGTCACCTCAGACATGGCAGCGGTGTCACCTCAGGGGTGACCTCATATGTGGCAGAGCTGTGACCGCAGGGGCCACCTCCAACGTGGCAGGGATGTCACCTCAGGAGTCACCTCCGACGTGGCAGCGGTGTGACCGCAGGGGTCACCTCAGACATGGCAGCGGTGTCACCTCAGGGGTGACCTCATATGTGGCAGAGCTGTGACCGCAGGGGCCACCTCCAACGTGGCAGGGATGTCACCTCAGGAGTCACCTCCGACGTGGCAGCGGTGTGACCGCAGGGGTCACCTCAGACATGGCAGCGGTGTCACCTCAGGGGTGACCTCATATGTGGCAGAGCTGTGACCGCAGGGGCCACCTCCAACGTGGCAGGGATGTCACCTCAGGAGTCACCTCCGACGTGGCAGCGGTGTGACCGCAGGGGTCACCTCAGACATGGCAGCGGTGTCACCTCAGGGGTGACCTCATATGTGGCAGAGCTGTGACCGCAGGGGCCACCTCCAACGTGGCAGGGATGTCACCTCAGGAGTCACCTCCGACGTGGCAGCGGTGTGACCGCAGGGGTCACCTCAGACATGTTCACCCAGAGAAGATGGGCCCACGGCGCTGGTGCCAGCCGAGCTCCCTGCAGCCTCCCCGGCATGCAGGGCGGTCTCTTATGCCCCGTCCCAGCGCCCCCGACAGCCCGTACGGGCGGCAGGGCGAACCGGGGGGGCCCCGGGCCTCCCCCCCCCCACGC